CCGGCTCTCTTTGCTGAGCTTCCGGCTGTGCGGAGCTTCCGGCTGCGCGAAACCCGGGAGCGCTGCGCGCCTTGTTGAGGTCTCGTACCACGCCGGCTCTGAGGCGGGACACGCTGGCGCCTTCTGTGCATGGCGCCTGAGAGAGGGAGCGGTGGGAACGGGACTGGGGCAGGGTTTGAGGAGAGCAGAAAACGGGACAGAGGCTATGAAGGCGACCGACAGGGCGACGGCTGAGGCACTGTCTCGCGCTCCTGCGTGAACGACCTCGTGGCCTTCGTGACGCCTCTGACGTAGGTCAAGGGCTCCCGAACCGTGATCACCCTGCAGAAAATTAGCGGAATCCTGCACTCACAGTAAAAATAACATGAAGGAAAAAAAAACACAAGACAAAAAGTAGTAGACTGCAAAACTTAAAAATAAAACATAAAAAAGACCGAAAGAAATAGCAGACTCCAGGGTCTCCTTGTTGCCACTGTTTTCCAGGGAAGTGGGGGTGGGGGCGGTAACACTCCTGTCACGAAGTGGCCCTGGACAGTAGTCAGGTTGAATTACTGATACTGTGCACACAGGCAACTGCCTAGAGATAACTGCAACAACAAAAAAGTAATTTAGTTCACCAAAAAAGGTGAGAGAGGTGTAAGTACGTTAAAGCTGAAATGTGGCGGGAACCTTGGGTGACGTACGTGGCACCTGTTTTGGGGATAGGGGGCTGGAATAAAAGTAGAACAGAGTCTTCAATTCCTCAAACCTGCCTACCCCTACATCAGAACAACAGAGATGCCCTTAAAGCAACTATGAGGGGCCAAATACTGAGTGAAATTTTTTACATATGTTAACTTTACTAATAGTCACAAAGGGTCTGTGAATTTAGCTCAGTGGTGCCGCCACCTGCCTCATAAGCGCAAGGTCCCAAGTTTAATCCCTGAAAGGGAATAGTGATGCTCAACCATTAGGCCACACACACACACACACACACACACAGATGTCCGATAGGAGACTTTATTCGGGGAGCAGGAGCAGAGAGGGAAAAGGGGCAGAAGAAGAGACCAAAGAAAGGAAGTTCCTTTTATCAGTTTTGGGCTAGGCTATTAATTATTAAAGAGGGGTGAGCTACTTTTAACCTATCACAGGCCAGGTTGTTTCATGGGTCAGGCCCTGCAGAAGCAGGTTTCAACTTCTCCAGACCACTGTGGCCTTGGGGGAGGGAAACCAGAGATAAGGGCATGAGGTCATTTTAGGAGCCAAGAAGTACCAGGAGAATGCAGCCTGTGAGGCGGCGTCACAGCATACTTTAACATGATCAATTCCCTAACAATCCCTGGTACCAAAAAAAAAAAAAAAAAAAAGCTTTTGGTTTTAATATGATAAATTTAAAAAAATCCTATCAAACTATTAAGGGATTTTATGGCTTTTTGTGAAAATAGCAAAATATAAAGTTAAAAGCTGAATGAGCATAATACTAATTAAGAAGGATGATATATTTTCACAGAACCAGTATTTCCCCCCATCCTATTCATTTAGGGGAAAAAAAGGTAATATGTTGTGTACATACACCACTCACCTTATGTACAGTAACCGTTGGGGAAGGACAAAATGAAGAAATCATAGTAGTCAGGAAGTAAGGGAGCCAAATTGAAGTTTTCTAATTGGCAATGTCTTCTTGGTCTGTAGGAACACCACTTAGTAAACGCTTCCTATCTGCTTTGGGAACACATCAGTTGTAGTTTCAGTCTCTGTAGCCAGGTGTGTCTATTTAATTGATTGGCTGCGCATCAGTCCAATCTGCCTCATTTCATTTACAAACCCCATCATTAACAATTAAGCTTTATTAGTTTACCATATTGTGTGTGCCTTTTCATCTTAAACTGCACCACAGAACCATCCTGCCCTGACACCTTCAAATTAGTATCACTGTGTTCTCAGTGATCCTTCCTTGGGTTTTCGTCTGGCATGGCAAGTACCAGAATCTCAGCTACTATGTCACAACAATACCAGGTCTACAGTGAATGAGCACACAGGCAACAACCTAGTCAAATCAATTGAAAACAAAGCAAAGGATTAAGCTATTTACAATAGGGTGTGAGCATAGAACAGAAGGATCATAATGCCTGAATCTTAATGCTATTCTTGATGTCCTGTCCATGCTAAATCAGAATTCACCCCTGGTGGTATATGAAGACCAGATGTCTCAGGTTACATTTCTCATTGCTGGGACAAAATACTCGACACCCATAAATTAAAGAAGGAAAGGTTTATTTTGGCTCAGTGTATAGAGATTTCAGTCCATAGAAAGCTGGTTCCAAAGCAGTGCAGCCTGGCAGAGGAGAAACAGTCCATAGTGTAGCAGACAGGAAGCAGCAACAGCAAGCATTCCCTTCCCTTTATATTCCATACAGGCTACAAACCTATTGGTTGATGCCACGCACACCCAGAGTGGGGCTTCTGTCTTCAGTGAATCAATTCAGCCACACCCAGAACTATGTTAAACTAATTAGTGGACTAATCCAGTGCCACATACCCTCAATCCCAATATCACACACCCATGAGTCAACCACCTCCTAAGAGCATCCCACCATGAGTGCAAAAAGCTTTGGGGAGGACATCTAGATATGCGTGGATCAGAGATGTTGCCTATACATATTTGCTCTTTTAGAGGAGCAATATGCCTGCCTATAAATGTAGCTTGCCATTAGCCTGCTTAGCATCTATGGGTTTTATCTGTGTTTCTTGGCCAGCTCACAGGAGAGAAGACAGACGTCACCATTGCCTGTTTTAATAATAACATAGTTGTCAATCTGAAAGTGATATAATGTCTACCTTATGACTACTTAAGATTTACTTTGTCCTTCTATCCACGTGTGTGTTTGTGTGTGTGTGTGTGTGTGTGTGTGTGTGTGTTTAATGGTGGGTGAAGGGTAATGGAAAAACTGGCTCTGCAGAGTGAACTTGGGCAAAACAGAGGAAAAATTAGAAAAGGAAAGCCACTGTAGCCTCCCTTTCTGTCTTTAAATGGCACTCTCCCCTCCCCCATTAAGATAGGGTTTCACTGTGCAGTTCAGGCAGGCCTTGAACTCACAATGTATTCCAGACTGGCCTAGAACTTGCAGTGATTCTCCTGCCTCAGTCTCCTGCTTGCTGGGGTTACAGGTGCACGCCACCACGCCCAGGTAAATGGTACCCTTATATGCCCCATTATTGTCCATGTTCAACCAGATATGTTCTACTTATTCTATCTTTAACATACCTCAAAGATGAATGATTCATTTACCATTTATATTTAACACATTATGAATCTCATGTTTCACATGTTCTTTGCTCTCATACTTTATTGTTAGCTTTGTGTTGCTGTGACAAAATACCTAAGATTAAACAACTTAGAAGGTTTATTTTGGCTCAGGGTTTCGGAGATTTGAGTCCATGGAGATTGGCTCCATCAGTTTTGGGCCAGCGAGGGAGAATATCATGGTGAAGAATATGTGGCGAGGCAAAGCTTCTCACCTCTTGGTGGCCAGGGAGTGGAGAGAAAGGGAGGAGCCCACGTCTCCTTGTGCCCTCAAGGACAT